AGTTTGGCTGTGCCCCCTCCCAGCTTCTTGTGCACCTCCAGCCTTCTCAGTCGGTAGAGCATGGGAAGCTGAAAAGTCCTTGACTGGTGTAAGCATTACCTAGCAACAGCTAAAACATCGGTGTGTTATCAACATTATTCTCATCCAAAATCCAAAACACAGCACTGTAGTAGCTACTAGGAAGGAAATTAACTCTATCTCAGCTGAAACCAGGACATTCTGCAATTAAATTATTCAAAAAATTAATGTCGCAAGATGACTCAAGTTATCAAGTTATAGAGTAAAGGGTGAATTGTGGAGTTCATGTTCTACAACAAACAATGCCTTTGTGAAATTAATAGAAGGATTTTCAGGTTTTTTTGAAACCTTATTTTAACCTAAATTTATATTTGAGAATATAATAGGTAATATCATCTAAGTGTTTGTATTTCAGGAGTTGAATAATGTGTTGTCAATAAATGATGTGGCCAGCATGGTAAGTTTATTGGAGATTACTGTAATTCTCTGGAGAAGTATTCACAAAGCACTAGATCACAATGAAGATGCCAAAGATTATGCTATCAGAAAATTTGCTTCTGTACTTCCTGAATATTTCAAAGTATTTAAGGTAAAGAAAGCCTAGATTTTCCTGTAAGTGCTTAGTATTTTCTTCAGATGCTTTCATGTGTTAAGTGTTTTATCTATTTTTGTGGCATTAAGTAACTTTGGAGAAGTATTCACAAAGCACTAGATCACAATGAAGATGCCAAAGATTATGCTATCAGAAAATTTGCTTCTGTACTTCCTGAATATTTCAAAGTATTTAAGGTAAAGAAAGCCTAGATTTTCCTGTAAGTGCTTAGTATTTTCTTCAGATGCTTTCATGTGTTAAGTGTTTTATCTATTTTTGTGGCATTAAGTATTCTTTTTCATTGTTGCTATAAATCATAAACAATAGCAAGTTTCTTGGAATTCCACAGATGGGTAGAAGCTATTCTCCGATTGCAATATCTGACTGATGAACCATTATCTAAATAGTCAACACAGAAATAGTTACACAATAAATTGCTCTCCTTGTAATGTTTTTATAGGATTCCATTCTTTTGAATATTTTTGGAACTTTTGGAAAACCATAACTGAAAGTATGCCATTGCAGAATAAATACTCAGTGTAGATGAGAGTCCATGTGGTTTTCTACCTGCTCCCCCCGCAACCCTTCCACCACCACCACTTCTTATTATGATCCAGCTGCTGGAACAGACAGCTGAAGCAGCTGAGGCTCCTTTTTCATTTTCTTGTGTTTGGTTTCTGGTAATTTGATTCTACTCTCTAATGATCTTTTGCTGCACTAATTTATTGTTTGGGTTTGATATAAACAATTAATTAAAATCAGTAATTTTCATATTTTCAGTCTCCTTGATCTGTTTAATTGTTCTAGTGTTGTTCTTCAGGTTCCTATCTTTTCATAGTGGCTAATAGTATCTGCTGTGCCTTATAATGCATTTGGAAGGATTATCTACTGGTTGTCTTTTTTTTTGTTGTTTATGGCTTTTATGCTGAAGTATATTGAGTTATGCTGGCTGTTATACTTAACAACATTCAAGTTTGCTTTAGATAATCAGGGAGTGGAAAGCAATTCATTGCTACATAATATTCTGCAGCACAGATATACCAAATGGTCTCTCTACCCTGAAAGCATTTGGAAGTTGTCAAAGACATTCCAAATCTTTTTTGGTAGAGGATGTACCATCCCTCCTGAAAGGTTCTGGTGAGCAGACAAGATATCCAGCTTTAGCAAGCAACCTCTTTGACTTTGATATTCTTACAGTGAGTAAGCAGCTTGGATCTAAAAAGACCTGTCATCAGAGGCTTAGTTTCTAAAAGACTACAGATTGAAGCAGCATGTCTCTTTCCTGAAAAGCTACAAATATATTTTTAAATGTTCTTTTAAAAATCATCTTTAAAAGGTTTTAGCTCTTCAAATGTCTAAGTAGGTAATAATTTCATTTGATTGTATTCATGAAGCTTCGACATACAGATATATTGTTTTTGAAGAGTCTTTCACATAGATTGGTTTCTATATAATCCGAGTGAGACTGTGTCATGGTCTAGACCTTGTATGACGATGTGTTGTAACGACTTGTAGTGCATTTTACATTACCATTGTTATATAAGCACCCTTTCCTTTAGAGTATTTTTTGTAAATTTCTGATGTGAATGAATATTCATTTAAGGCACTAGTTACTTGAGAGGAGTTAGTGTCATGATTGTGCAATTAAATATTAGCTTCTACTAGAAAAAATGTGAGCTAGAGCTGTTATTTCTTTTGCAATAGTTATTAATCTAATAGACCCATAATTATTCATGGTAGTTGTTCTGGCAGTTTGTCAGAAAGCTGAATGATAAGATAATTGATAATTGACCTCTGAGAATAGGAATCTGAAGTTTCAGATTGCAAGCCACATGTTGTTATGAGCTTCTTTCAGTTCCATTTCTAGTGAAAAAAGGGAAATCCTTAATTTGAGATAATTTAATCATACTTTTTCAGTACTCTCTTTAGTTTTGTGTGCATCTGTACATGTACATCATATAGTGTACTTTTTTTATCCTAGGATGAGCGTTGCATGACTCCATTGGTTATTCTGGCATCCTTTATGCCCCCTGCTGCTATTCCTACATTCAGGTACTATTTTTAAATCCAAACTATGAATGACAAGAAATCTCTTGTTGACTGTATTTGTTAATTTTTCACAACTTGACATATTAAATGCCCATTTGGATACATTAATCCACTAAATAAATTCAGTAAGTTAGTAAAATCTCTGAGGTGCAAATATGCCTTTGAGCCATTGGTGAATCTTTTTTGGTATTATACTGGTTGATTTTTTTTGAATTTTTTCTGCACTGGATGTAAAGCTAATGGCATCTCTTATTTTTTGTTTGTTTTCTTTTAAGCTGTGGTGTGATCTCCAGACTCAGAAATATTGACAATGGAGCTGACCAAAGCAAATATTCTACCCTGATAGACTGCATCTGTCGCTGGGGTCAAGTGGGACATATTATGGAATTAGTCTGTGACTGGTTGTCTGACACACTAACCCCAAGAAAGGTGTGCATAAGCGTACGTCAAAGAATTAAGGAATTGCTAGATTACATAAAGGCATCGTGTTTGGTTTTTTTTTTTAACAGAAGCAGCCTCTTTAATGGTTTTTTTTTAACAGAAGCAGCCTCTTTAATGCCATGTTATTCTGCTTTGGAATTAGTTGTAAATTAAGATACTGACAGTATTGTAACGGTTTTGTGCTTTCTTCTCATTTAGAGTATTAAAACATCTGAACGACGAGTACGTATCCATGTAACACATGAATCGAAGCCAGAATTAGCAATTGATTACATTGAATATTTATTGACTAATCCTGTTAATCGTGGTTGCCTACTCTCTGTTCCTAAAAAGAAACTGCAGAAGCTTTTGAAAATTCTCGGTGCTGCAAAGGTAGTATTCTCCTTACCATAAACAGTGTTTATAAAAGTGCTTAACATCATATATTGCCTGAATCAAATTAAAGGCCCGCAAGAATAAATAAATAAGAGTCATGATCCCTTTTTCCCCTCTGTAAAAAGGTTTTCCTTTTGATTTGTACTTCAAACAAATATTCAAAACTAGAAGTGTATTAGTTCAGAATTGTTTATAAATGACAGATTGTAACCAGCTGGTCACTTTTAGGTGTCTCAAAATTTTTGTGATCTAGTGTTGAGCATTTTTAAGGGACCTGACTTTTGGAATGTACATGGAAGGAATAGTCTGCAAATCAGATATGGCATTGCAAAATGAAAGTAATTGAAAGTATGCCTGTTGTTTTTTTGGGGTTGGGGGAGAGGTTTGTGGGGTTTTTTTTCAATCTTTTGTTTAAAGCTGTTGAGAAAAGAAATATTTGAAAGGATGTTCTGGAAAATATAAATGTACACCTTGATATTTCAGGAGGTTCTTGGCTCAATTCTGAAAGCAAATGATGGAGGTTCTGGTAGCTGCAATCAAGCAACTGGCCTAAGAGCCTTCAGCCTGTTTTGCAGGTTGAGTATTCATCTTCAGAACAAGGTATCGTTATACCTTTTCAGTATAAGCTGGAGTTACAGCTGACAGTATAAGGAAATTCCAGAAGAATTGGAAAGACAATTGGTAAACTTCTTCTAATTTTTTTTTTCCAGTTTTCTGAAGAAGGAAAAGATTACCTCTCACTTCTGGAGGAGACAGGTGCTTGGATAGAAAGTCAAGTTGTACCTTTTATGCTAGCAAGTGATCAAGAGGATGGCATTTCAAAATACAGTAATGTTTCTGAATTAATTATCCAGGTTAGAGGTCTCTTATAACATAAATCAAACTGCTACCAATCTGAAAAGCCGTATATGTAGCAATTGTATACTGACAAACATAGTGCACTGGAGATTTTGGAGCCCAGCAAGTGAATGAGCTAATGAAATACAGTCCTGATTGTTCTGAGGTTACAGTTTTGTGCTTTTGCTATTCCTTTGATTGCTTAAAATCCCACACTTTTTTTTTAAATTGCTTTGAGATTAGTTATAAACTTTATATTTTATAAATATAAAAATATAATTGCGCAAACCCTAGCAATTAAATCAAGTAGTTGGAGTCAACAATACCTTGTTCTTATCTAGACTTTTTTCACCTACCAGTGCATAATATATATTCTCATCTTATCTGTTGAAGTGAAGGTGGAACATGTTTTATGTTTCACACTTGTGAAAATGCCCACTCAAGAAGTTTCTAGCACAGCAGGCGATGTAACCTGGGTGTCCCAAATCATAGGTTTCTAACAAGTAATTCTTGTCCTCAGTCTCTCATCCCCCATATTAAATAAAGGTAACGCTTATGCTGTTTTATGGAAAGTGCATTAACATAAAGTTAAGATTGTCACTGAATCTCAGTTCTGAAAAGGAGAAGGAAATTAGTTGCTGAAAACAAGAGTATAGTTACGTGGTATGCTAGCACTTAACAGCCTGTTCTTCTGTAGCGTAGAAGGTCCCGGAAATGACATAGAATCACTGCAGCTGCATACATTGTGTTGAATAGCACAATAGAGGATGACTTCGAGGACCAGGAAGGTGGAGTAATGATGAGAGAGGATTTAGATCTAGTCATGTTTTCTTGCTTGCTTGCTTCCTTCCTTTCTTTCCTTTCTGCTTTCCCAAAAGAAATAGGTAAAATTATACCCTGAGGAATTCAGTATGCTTCATTCTAGTGCTGAGTCCCATAGAACATGTCTTTGGAAGTCAGCAGAGAGTCAGGGTGTGAGTTACCTGGGAATTTAATAATGAGGAGGTCAGTCTTGTACTAAATCCTGCTGCTGCAGCCAAATGGCTCTTTGAAAGATATAAAGAGATAGGAAACTCAAACGAGTGTTGTAGTTGTTCATGGTACAGGTTTCTTGTGTGTTTTACACGCTATTGTCTTCTCTCTGAATGAAAAATTTGGTATGCATATCATAAATCTTTTATGGCTAATTTTTTAAAATTTGGGGGAGGCACAGAACTCAACCTTATAGAAAGACAAGACACAAAATAGGGAATCTTTACCAGCATTACCAGAATGTTTACTATCCATTTCCTAGGTTTGAGTACAAAATTAAAAGGACACTTTATCAATAAGCAATAAGATAGGCAGTTGTCACCTGTAAACCCATCTGACATGTTACTTGACTAGCCAATAATGAAACACAATGATCTTTACTAGTAGATCTTAAAGTTCATTTGTATCATTATTTCCAGAGAAGAAACTGAGGTGTAAAGACTGAGGTGACTTGACTGGAAGTCAAGAAAAGAATCCAGGCCTCTTGCATCTCCTGTAATAAGCCACATGCTTGTTAAGCAGCTCCTATTCGCTTCTCACTTTGTATACTGTTTTTTATTGGAATGAGGTATTGATTGTGATGTTTAATTGTTTGGAGTCTATATTTGGTAACAATGCTGGCATTAAAAGCGGACCTAGTTTGTCTCAAAATATCCATGTAATATACAATAATTACAGTTGCTTCTTTAATACTGTTGTATATGAGAGGGGACCGGGGTGTCTCTTTTTCCACTTACATTTCTCTATCACTTTCCCTGTGACATATCCCATTCTTTCCCATTTCACCCTTCCTTCTCTGCTTAGCCTGTTACTCAGTTTTGCACTTGCTGTTATGGGCAGGGATTCACTGGGGGACCGTTCTCTTTAGGCCACTGATTTGTTGAGTGGGGCTGGTAGGCCCTCTGACACACACTCCAGTGTCATCACTGCCAGTGTCCCTTACCCCTTATCTTCATTCGCCTTCACAGAAAGCATTTGATTATATAAGGGGGGGGGTGGGGGTGGTTAGTTTTGAATTGTCTCCTGTTGCATTCCCCTCACATATCACTTAACCCAAGGTGGATTTTAGCATTGAGCTATGGGTCCTTTCAGATTTTGGTCAAGTGAAAGATTTGGACTAACTTTAGTGACAGTCAGTGTCCTTGAACACCCCAGCTCGTGTATACATAGACTGGTTAAAAATTCTCTACTCTGTCTATACGTTAGTATTATAATCTGTTTAGTATGTAATGTGTGTCTCTAGAGAAAAGCTCTTTTTGTATGCTGTTTTTAATTTTGCTATTCAATATAGGTAGAGATGTCATGTTCTGCCTCAGTAAGTGTTAGGTATCAATGCCTCTGATCTGAGCCTGAGTAAAAAAGATAGAGTATTTACTGCCTTTTGAGAAACTATGTTTACTGGAGGAAAGGGCAATGGAAGCATTTGGAGAACTGTTTGGAACTCCTGCTTTTCAAAGGTTGCGAACTGAGTAACTCCAAGTAGATGCACCAGCTTTCAAGGCAACTTGGCTAAGATTTCATGGTTTTGTTACTTTTAGGTTTTACTGAACCGTTACTTTATATAAATTTTGTTTCTCGTATACTTTTGCATCTCTTTTCTAGGCCTACCTGACGGTGTGTAAAGATGTCATAATGGTTGGCCTTGGAAATCTCACGTTTCAAGCACACCTTTTAGATATGGCTCTTTCAGTTATACAAACAGGTACAATATTTTATACTAACATCAACATCTCCATATATACTTGGCTGACTTTTCTTATATTAGCAGAACTGTTGCTTTTAGCATTTTGGAGTCTGTTTCTCAAAAAATGGTGTTTACTGCTTATGCTAGCTAGTACCAATAATATGGTCAAAAGTCACAGCAGCTTTTCAGAAAACTGAAAACAAGCAGAGAACCAACCCAGAACCATGTCACTGTTGATAACTAGTGTGTTCTTCCTTGCTCTTAGATTCCAGTTATTACTATATAATTCAGGGGTTTTTATATAAAAATATCTCTCTATATGTATCTCTCTCTATATATATTTCACTATGCCTTAGGAGGCAACATTGTAGCTCTATTTAAATTTGGCTCACATTTGGAAAGTTAATGTCTACAGTACAGACAGAATTAGAGTTCAGTTCCTGAAGAAATCTACAATTTTAATCCCTATACTTCAAGTATTGGAAGGAACACTGGACTTATACTTAAAATATTGATTGAACTGTATGAAAATTTCAGCTAAGGATGCTCAGAAGCTAAATATATCATCTGCTCCTGTAAACTATAGCTCTTTAGGTTGTGTAACTGAGTTTCATTCTAAGCTTGTACCTGAAGAATATCTCATTACAATTTTTACATTGTGGTATTTATCTCTTTCTCTAGAAAGAGCTGGCTTTTGTGCTCCAGTGTTACTGCATGCTCTAAAAGAAATTATTGAAGCTTCTTTAACGCAGAATACTGAGACAGATGAAGTGGCAAATCTTTTCCATGCTGTACAGACCGTCTTCCAGAACGTTTTAGAATGTGTGGCACGTAGACTCAAGACACAGCAGGAAGAAGGGATTCAGGTATCATCTTACACTTGCAATTAGTACCTAATGTGTAGATGAATCCATACTTTTTATGCAAATGTGTTATACTTAGACACTTTGAGGTTGTTATTCGAGTCGACATCTGATTAAATTTTCAGTTAAGTTTTCTAAGTTTCCTCCTTACCAATGTTTTTTTTATCCATTGTTGGTCTCATCATGACACAAAAACTAGTAAATTGGAGAGCAATGCGTTCTGTTACCAATGATCCTGAACTACCCTAGTACTCATAGGTTACTACTCTTATCTGCAATTAAATGAACTTTCTCAATCCAGAGCAAAGAATTTGATTATATATATTATGATCTTGGGACGGAGGAGAAATTGTCGTTACTTTATTTATTTCTTTCAGCCTGAATTGTATCAGCTTCAAAATATGTACGATGTCCTAAAGTTCTTCAGAACCTCCTGTCTTCACAGAAAAGTTAGCTTCTTGTATTTTATAGCAGAGACTAGATAGTAGCGAGGTGGGTGGATCACTCTGGAAAATTTGATGGTCTGCTTTTCAGGACTTCTGAAAAACATTCAGTTCTTTTTTGTTACAACCATTGTTTTGTTTGTTTCTCTCAAATTTATGAGTAGACTTCCCAAACATGTTGCTGATTTCCCCTCTGATCCCAGGTGACTAGAATACCTCAATAGCTTTCAAGGTGTGATCTGCGCTTCTTCACAGAGAAGCTTGCTGAAATATTTCAATTATAGTCAAGCAATCTGAAAAAACTGATCTGTTTTTCTTTGGGTTTAGTTGATTCACTCTATTCAAATACCTCTTGGAGAATTCGTGCATGCGGTCCAGTGCTGGCATTCATCTTGCCCAGCAGTTCACCAAGGTGTACTCTCTACTCTCCTGGCCGCAATAGTAGCAGAGATAAATCATGTGCTACAGAAGGTAAAGTTAATACTGACTTTTTTTTTTTCTTCACTTCCTGCTTTTTAAACGTCATGTTGGAACAATCGAGCTACGTTCAGAAAGTGTGATCTTTGTACTGCAGATCAAGATTTTGTGTGTGTTGGCATAGAACAAACAGGGAATCTTATTTGCCATAATTTCATATTACGGTGCATCTCTCAGATTTATGAATACAGCTGCGTAAGAACAGAGTTGTCCTGACACCTAGTTCACTATCTGCCTCTGACAGAAGAATTTAGAAATTTGGCAGAGTTGGAGATTAATGACATGGTTTTTGAGATGTTCTCTATGTATTTGTACTGGGTCTGGCTGGGAAGGAGTTAACTTTCTTCACAGCGGTCCCTATGGTGCTGTGGTTTGCGTTTGTGGCTAAAACAGTGTGAGGGCACACCAGTTAGTTTTGGCTGTTGCTGAACAGCGCTTGCAGAGTGTCAAGGCTTTCTCTCTTCCCTTCACCCCCTGCCCTAAAAAAGAGTAAGCAGGCTTCGAGTGGGCAAGAGGTTGAGAGGGGACACAGCCGAGACAGTTAACCCAAACTGACCAAAGGCATATTCCATACCATACAACGTTGTGCTCGGCAATAAAAGCTCAGGGAAGGGAGGTTGTTCCAGACCTACCTCACTTTGTCTCACCCAGCATTAGGGAACTTAAGAAGTGAACTACTGATCTCTGAAAGATTCCAGTGCCCTGTTCTTGGAACTGTCCCATAAGGTTCTGTAATCCTGTTCCAAAGCAGGCTGATGTCTCACTTGGCACTGATCACTTATGCATTCAATACAGATCCATTTTCATAGATCTTTTTTTTTTTTGTTCCGCTGGTTTTTGTTGAGAGGATTTCCAAATATCTGATTTCAGTTTCTTTGGAAAGTAAAGAAAGAGGCTCTAATACTGAAAAGAATCTATAGACAGAGGTTATTGTATGTGCTAAAAGTCCAAGGAACCATTACTGTCCTTGAAGGAGAAGGGTAACGTTCCCAACACGTGTTCCTAATGCATGTAGTGTTAGGAGCAAATATGGCTAGAAAGATTGAAAGCTTTGAGAACTAACAAGGAAAAGCAGAGGTTCTTTAGCAGAAACTGTACTCTTACTGTGGTTGCTAGATATGTCAGAGCAATAAATGGTTGCCAGAAAGTACCGAGTACAACAGAGCTGCTTCTAAGATTCTGTGTTACAGAAGGAACTGAAACAATACCAGAGATTTACCTGCAAATATTAATGTATCAGCTTGAGGGGCTGTAGGATGAGAGCGTGCTCTTTACAGGTGCTGCAGAGTAAAAGTTCATGGTCTTGAATGATACTGCAGATTCATACTCCTAGATTATGAATGTTCAGTGCAGCAAGTCATCTGAGCTGGGGTTTTCCCTGCCCCCAGGTTACTGCACTGGTAAATAAAAATTCAGTTCTGACTAAATACTTGCCATGCTATTCAGAACTTGATACCAAAAAGAGCTGACACAGGGAATCAGGAAATCGCTGTCCCCTAACTTATTTTTAGAAATCATGTGTGCACACTTAAAATTGGAGACACAAAGGATACTCATCTGTGTTTCATAGGCAGTGCCTTTATAAATAGTGACCAATAATGTAGTTAAATGAAACCTCTGTTCAGAACAACTGTGGAGAATATTTGCCTTGGTACAAATACTGTTTATTTGTTTTAGTTTTAGCCTTTCTAATTTAAATTTGTTTTGTTTATTTGGACACAACACAATTGGATTAAGGCTATTGAAGGAATGCAACATGAATGTTTCTTCTAATTATTTAAGGATAGGTCTTGGTTAGCGTAATTATTGCAATACGGATTTGCTTCGATGTTTTCTGCATACGTATATTTCTTGATCTACAGTAGTTGTTGACATTTTTCTTTTTTAGGCTTCCAGTGAAAAGGACTTAACTATACCAAAGACTATTGCAGACCTTCCTCCTCTTTCAAGCAGTTTAATGGCCATAATTATGAAGTCAGTTAATGTTGTCAGGTAAATGTTTCTACATTAATATGTCCAAGGTTGTTGCTAATGTAGAGCAGCTTATATGTTGTCAATAAAGTTTTAATTTCTAAACTCAAATAAATTTTGAGGAACTAGATGCTTACTAAATTTACCTGCACTACTTTATAATCCCTTTCCCTTGATACATTGCTTGTATATATTGACTGGGGGGTTGGTTCCATTTTTTTACTACTTCTAAGGGCACTTCTTATTTACAAGACTAGTAATTTACTAATTCATCTAAATTAGTTCTTTAATCACACATCTTGGCTTGCTTTTTTCATAAGATACTTATAAACATTAGTCCCCTCAATATAGAGGTATTTAGATGAGATAAAATATTTACCAGAAATAGCATTAATCCTTTAATTGAACATCTGCAATGAGGTGACAAATGTACTATAGCTGTATTAAAATCAAAAAATTCAAAATAGTTTTAAAATATCTGAGTCCTAAAAGCCCCCAAATGTAGGGTTACATCTTTTTTTTTGTTGTTTAAGACTTAAACTGTTTTTTTTTAATTCTGAGTCCTAAAGCCCCCAAATGTAGGGTTACATCTTTTTTTTTGTTGTTTAAGACTTAAACTGTTTTTTTTTAATTTGCTGTATTTAGTGGGTACCCTGAATATCTTCTAAAATTGTCACAAGTGAATTTCATTATCTTCCTGTGCTTAGTTTATTCATATTCAATTTTTATTTACATGACTATAAACACCAGAGTTATTTTGAATGATCAAGGGGCTAATGTGTATTCCTTAGAATTCCTTAGAAGTCCTATCATTCTCCATGACTTATCACAACTAACTCCTATTCTTAACTTCCTCATCTGACAGGCATTGAATATCCCTGTCTCTGCTGTCATGAGATTTTTTTTTTCTTCTCAATTGTTCTCTAGTTCTAGTTGAACCTGCAAAACAAAGGACTCCGGGAGTCCAGAAATAGGTTTCCTAATCCAAATCTTGTTCTTCTGTGAGGCAGCAGCTGTCTGTCAAGGTGCTCTCTTTTAGTGAAACACAATTATTTTACACACCTCTTTTGAAAAGAGGGGCAAAAATTCAATTAATTCCTCTGAAACTTTTTCTTGTAGTGGTCAAGGAGAATCTTGTCCATTCTTGACAGAGAAAACTGCTAGTTTGGACCAGACTGTTTCTATGAGTACTTTGATAAACATGTGTCTATCTTCTAGTATTTATCTTTTTGGTGCAAAGAAGATCTAAGTCAGGAGATAATTTACATCTGGTTCCACTGGTGCCTCAGGACTGAGACTGCTTTTAAGGCTGTTTTCTTTTATTCATCTGTATTGATAGGCCATAATCAGAGTCCAGTAGTAAATCATTCAATATCTCAGAAATCATCATCTTTCCACACCAATTCGAAAGCCTTTGACAATACAGAATCTGATGGGAGCTTCTGTTCTGTGAACACGCAATCATCTTGCACCAGGTTCTGCAGCATCTATTATATTTTCAGTTACTAATTACTCAATCTCTAGCACTGAATTTCAGTGCCCATACCAGTGATAATACTGAGTGACTTGGCAATATCTGACCAATTGTGTGAGTACCCTTTCCTTTAGCAGGGAACTATCTGTGTAGGAACCAATTACTCATCTCTCTTACTATACGTGTTTGTAAATAGCTTCTTGTTCTGTTCTATTTTAGCTTTGCCTGCAGGCTCATGTGATCCTTGTTGAGAGGGAGGTGGGGAGAGGCACCTGCATTGAGTCTGCAGTGAGTCTTATTACAGGTTAATAAAATTACAGTGTTCCTTCGTGGAACTAAAGAGTGTGCTTACTGACCTAAACAGTGATAACAATAAAGTCAAAACTCTGATCGGAATACTGTCAGTTAGCAATTTAAAAGCAATATGAAATGGAATCCATACTTGGTTAGATTAGTCCACAATGATATAATAAAACTAATGCAATGCATGAGTGACTTCCTAATACTTATTTCAGAACCTATAGAGGTTTCATCTTTCTCAGCTCTTTGAAGCAATATTTGAGCTTCTACAAAGCTTATTTACTGAATCACTAGTGGAGGTTGGTTCCTTTCTTAACTGCATACTTCATTTCGATATCTTAGCACAATAAAAGCCCGAAGAACAATTAAGTTCGGAACTGGGTATTTATGATGTTCAATTTTGGTAACAGATAATAATATTACCAAAGGTCTTTTGAAATATTTTAGGGAAAGTTATTGTAACATCTACTGCTCTCAGTTTCCCCTTTAGTTCTTCACAGAGCATTTAGTTTTGTGCTCTGAGGAGTATGAGGATTACAGATCTTGTCCATCTCCTGCTTTATCCCTCTTGTTCTTTTATTTTTCTGTGTTTTTGAGAATTGCTTCTGAGTTAAATTTATTATTTTTACCATTAACACTATAATGACTAATTAGTGGTTTCATTCTGTAGTATCGCCTTATTCCATACTGCAGTTTAGTTTGACTGATAGACCTCTTACTTCACACCCTTGTTTCATTTTTCTTAACTTAATATATGTCCCAAAACACCCCTAAAGTTTGCTGGTAATACTATAATCTCTTGCTAAAAGCGAGTCTCTTAAAATACGTATAGAGTTAGTATTTATCTCAGATTTTACAATAAACGGTTATTTTGATTCTATTAGTCCATCCCATACTTTCAATATCTAAACTGTAGTTTGGAAGTGTTTCGGGGCTATATTTAGTTATAAACGTTCTTCACTGTTTGGTAATTGGAAACCCATAATTTTTATGAGATATGCATTTTAGACCAAAGTGATAATTAAAGTCCAGTTTCTAATCAGGCTACAAGTAGTAATAGTTTTAATGGCATGAGGAGTTACTAACAAACTGTTGGAGTCATACAACATATTTTTTTAAACTTCAGTAGAAACTGAAGTTAGAAATTTCAATACAAATTCCGTGAGTTAGATTCCAGTAGAACCAGTAGTTTTTTCACAGATTGACTTTCCCAAAATAGTCCACGAGCTCTTCATTTCTCTTAACAGTTACTTATTCTGTGTACAAACTTCTTCATTTTTTTCCCAAGCAATTTACCATTCTGCTAACTCAGGTATTCTCACTTCCAGAAGCAGCATGCAGTCTTCAATTGCCCAACAACCACTGCTTTGTCCTGCATGGTAACTTTGAAGCTATAGTGGCAGGGGAGCATCATCACAAACTTGTTGTGTTCAGTTCTATTTTGAAAGAAACATGATTTATTTTTTCTTTAGGTCATTTTTAAATGAATTAATGGAATGCATTATCTCTGAAGAAGTTGAAGGGATTTTTAGTCTAACAGCTACTGTCTGCATTGTGATTATAATTAACGGTCAGTCAAACCATTTTTGTCCATTTTTTTTTTCTTTTTTTTATGTGCTACATTTTGAAATCTGAGTTCTTGATAATTTACCATTTTTCTACAGGATTTAAGGTTATTTGGCTTGTAAGTTATGTTTTTAAGCTTTGGACTTTCAATCTTTGTGTAGTGAGTTTAAAAATACAACTGTCTGCTAACTCATAGGGTCCATCACTATATTCTGATTTGCTGAAATACAGAGTGATTAATCCAGGATGGTGAAAATCTAATTTAATATCTAATCTTTCATTAAACAATCTTTTATGTTAAAAAAATATTTGATGAAAATATGCAGGGGTTTTTTTGATAAATCATTATTTTTGTGCAACTTTTCAACATAATCTTATTTCAAACAGGTAAGCACAAAACTTCACTTCTAAAGGATATTGCACCTGCCATTCAAAGGAAGCTGATAACATGCAAGGATGCTGCCACAGAAGAATATAGCAGCACTGGAAGGTAAATGTGCTGTGGGAAATGAACACTAACCTCTCCTATACCCTCTCTGCAATAATTGGCTGTGTTTTGTACTTACATAATACAGTTAGAGCATTCTGAATGATTGCAAGGTTTAAAATAGCGGGTAAAAAAACTTGTGAGGTATTGAGCCCAGCACATATTAAATTTCCTGCCCATACATTTGCTGTGATTGCAATCCTTACATATTTAGTTTGGTTTCTTGCATTTAATTTGAATGTGTTATGACTTGATCCTGTATATTGCAGGATTCAGTTCTGAAATTCAGTTCTATTAGCAGCAGATGTAGAACAAAGCAAGTAGTCTATTTACTATTTCTTATTACTAGAAGATTTTTCTTCCACATTTTGGTATTAGGCATATGAATCCATACCTATGCAGATGGTAAAAATTTAACTGAATATAACAATGACTTTAAGACCTTTCCATAGGTGATTTTATTTTGCTCTTTTTTGGGATTTTGGTGTCATATCTGGTTGACTTTTAGATTTTTTGGTATAAGTTTCTTGAAGGTGATTGGCTACATTGTATTTGCAATCATTTATTTCAGACCTGCCTATAGATAGACAATCATGATGAATGCTTTAGCCTTAAGTGTCTCAAACTTGCTTAAGTCTAAAAATTTGTTAGCATTTGATTTCTGCCTAGTTAATGAACTGCCTCTGGAATTAGAAAACATGCAAAGTAGATATTAAAAAGCACAAACATAGAATATGAAGAAAACAGACTATGGTTATGAACATTCATCCAAAAATACTGAGAAAGTTATTAATGCACCACAGCGGCCAATCTGAAGATGCAGAGGCCCTTGCAATCTTTAACTCTTCAAATTGATGATCCTTACTATTCAGTCAAACAATGGATGTAGAGTAGACAGACTTTACATTAAAAAACAAAACAAAACAAAACCACTTCATTTTACTCAACAGTTTCTTGCATGGCCCTTCAGACCTAAGCACACTTCCATAGCACGCTCTTCTGGTGGATCACTAGCCTGAGGCGTGTTGTTCTCTGGCATTGTAATGACTAGACATAGACCTTTGGCAGCTGTGCTATGACTGAATTGGTGTCACTGGTTTAAAGCCAATACTAAAGTTATGAGATGCTACTGTATGAAAAATAAGATAGTTTGTCAAGGAGGCCGCATGGGCTATATCCCTTTCCTATTATGATACTTCAAATCCTTAGAGTTTGCACTTGAGTTGTATCAAGAAGCGCAACAGGTACACTAAGTGTTCTGGCAGTGGCAGAACTTTTAGAGGGCTGTGCAGTAAATGTCCATTTGGAATTGGTTCAGAAGTGCAGAAGGTAAATTGTATTTTTCCAGGAAAAAAAAAAAAGCCTGATATTCAGGACAATACAATAGAGTAGCTGTGTTGTTGCTGACAAAAGATGCATTCATTCATTTAAATCTGCTATTATATCGGAGCCAAGAAGGTATTATGTAACTCTCTCTAAAGAGTCATATAATCTTAAGAACTAGACCAGAAAGTTTTATGATATATACGAGCCACTTCAGTTATGTACCATCAAAAATGAGATTTCTTTTAAAAAAAAAAAAAGAAGGGAAAAAAAATCAAAACCAGCGCACACTTCACTTCCATTTCCTGTCTGGCCTAAATAAATAGAAAACAGAAATGTTGCTGTCAAGACTTTGGGTGGTTTCCACAGAGGAAAGTGTGCTCATGTAACATAAAATTGATAAAGAACCAAAAAATATCTTATTTAAAAAAAAAATCACTACATAATTGGACTTCTAAAACTCAGAGTGACTCTGCTTCCTGGGTAATTGTTTTAATTAGTTGCTCGGCTGTGAACAAATTTCTTTTGGTTGGGACCTAGCTTAGAAACAAAATCAAACAAAAGTAAACAAAAAACCTTTTTCTTTTCCCCATGAAATCATTTAACGTTGGGTTGCCAAGTGTTCTACTAGGATATTTTTAAAAATAATAATAATAATGAACTGGAAAAGAAAAGTGAGCAGCAGAGTGTCATGATTCAGTTTGCTCCTTTTAATCAGGACAGTAGAAAAGGCTGAGAAATTAAAGCAAATCTTAACATGATTAAATAAATAGGCACGTTAAAATGAATAATTGCTGCCACTTGAGTGCACTACTGACTATAATTCCAGTAAGAACACAGATTAATTGCTTTATGAATCTATATGATAATCTCTGCCCAGTGAACAGGGACAAATCAACCTAGAAGTTGGGGCAGATGAAGAGCATAAGATGCTACACAGTGTTTTAATTTCATGATATATGAATGGCTACCTTTGTATAATACAAAACCAGGAGATAGTTGCAGATAAAATTAAAAGATTAGGAATATGAACATGATGATGGGAAGTACTTTTAACAAGAATCAGAATTGCAATATGATAACAAAATTCAGAAGCTGTCACACAGCTTTGCAGAATTTGGGAGGATTCATATTTGTACAGGTATGTTGGGGATTTTTTTATCTCCAGAAGGGTAAAAGAATTCATGCTGAAAAAAGGTTAGGAGGGAGTTCTTCACTGATTAGGTTTTGCTTGACTCATTTAAAGCGTGTTTGCACTTCCTCAGCTAGACATAATGTTGGACCAGGCCGGGCCTCTAGTGTCTTCTGACATGCCATTTGTAGTGCTCTGGTACTAGTGTGCTGACGTATAACTGAAGTGTCATTATATACAGTCTGAAATGCGCCCTGTTGTTTGTAAACTATTTTATCGTCCTACTCTGCTTACCAAACCACAAGATTTTAGTTACGGTATGCTGCAAGCTAGATCTCTGATCATTACTTTGAGCACAATCTTATAACACACAGTGCTGCACTTATGTGTGCTAAAATATATCACTGCTTTTTTAACTCATACTTAATAGTATTATTACTTTTTGCTTCTGAATGCATTATCTCATAATAACTCCTTGAGGGATTATTTTATTTAATACCCAGGTATAACAGGAAATAGTGACATTCTTTAATTTCCCAGGAGACTTGGCATTCTGTGCCAGCATCTTAAATGTAGACTTAGAAGTAATCTATTACATATTAGCAAAGAAAGAAAAAAGTAAAAATGCTGTCTGGTGTCGTAATTAAAGTGCTGCCCTTAAACAAACTAATTCAGAAGCAAAACTTTTCATTGTAATTTAGTCTTCCCTCTTCAGCTGAGTTAGCAGTTTAAGATGGCCCTGTGGGTCTATTATTCTAAAAATGCTGTTCAGTGCACTTAAAAATTCTGGACAACATATTGTATATTGAGAGAATTTCCTCAAGAGTAACGGCACACACATTAGTTTAGTTTATAAAATGCAAATATTTATGTCTAGCAAAAAAAATGCGAATAAAGCTGTCAATGCAGTGATTTGGAGGCTAGAGAAAAATGTTCCATGCTCTGTAAAAACAAATGTGCTATGGAATAACACCTTTGACTTAATATTTTCTATTTACTTTAATTAGCATTTTGATATACGGGTATTAGAATTTAAATTTAGCTAATGGCTCTGCTGAAAAGTATTTCTTTAGTATTATCATTTAGCTAGCTTCCCAAACTCTTTACTGCACTCTCATTGCATCTGTAAATAACGATTCTTGAATTGTTTTGCAATATAACTTTGTGTGTGATTTGCCTGACGCCTATCTAAAAGTTCACTAGAAAGGTACCTGGTAGAACTGACTTAAATTTGTCTGTCTGGGGAGGCGTACAGTTATTCTGAATGACGGCTTATTGTCCAACGTGCCGCTGGTACATGGGCCAATGTTACAGATCTATTGTTTTATTAGCCTTAAATTCTAACAAAGTAAAATTTATACGAAGTAGCGTTGTGTCTGAAACCACAGTACTTCACTAATTATACTAATTTTATAGTACCTTATAATACTAGCTTGTTTTGACAGTTGAGTTCCATCACGGCTTAAAGGATATAGCACTATAAAGAGGAGCATGTGACACACCCGCGGCGGTCTGAATTCAGGGAGCCCTAACATCCAGTATACTGCCATGAAAATGCAGAGTTGCCTCTTGTATTTCAGGTCTTGGTGTCTCTTAATGGATGCCCTAACTCATCGTAATTAATGACTAACTAACCTTGCTTATTTGGAGCATCAGTCTAGGACTATAATAATAAAAATATGGAGAAAAAAATGCTTGAGAAATACAGGTGACAGAATCTTTTACGAAAGATTCCTTCACAAAAACGTGAAGGATAAAGTTTATAGTAGTTAATGGTGAAATAATGTTTTGGACAGAAGACCAAAGTGCCCATTTTTGTCTTTTGAGGATATCTTAGAGCAGCGTTAGAAGAAGTTGTGTGAGAACGCAACTACGAAGGCTGGGTGAGTGACTGTGTCAGGGAATGCAGAAAATGAAAAGGGCCTGCCAAATGGAAATTTCAGAGCTGACCTTTGGGATTGTTTAGGGAGTAATGTGAGTCAAGAGAGTCAGAAAGGGACTAAGATGGGTGTATCTGCAGCCGAAGGAGGCAGCCGCTAATAAGGATAAGATAGAAAGCTCGGGCTTGGAAAAAAATTGCCACAGGGTGAGGAGAAAAATTATGAAGACGGAAGAACAAGGGCGAAAGGAAGAAAAGTAAAAGAATGAAAAGTGGCTTTAGTATGAACTATCATCAGTAAAGGATTTGACTATCTATGTTTGAAAAAAGATTAAAAATGCTGTGAAGAAAACGACTGGGTTCTTTAAATAGCTGATGAAATATTAGAAAACGTGCTCGAATTGACAGAGTAATTTAAACTGGCTTGCTGTAGATTACACTATAGCTAGAGATGATCAGCAGAAAAATGGAAAAGTTGAAAGAAAAAATGCAGCTATTTCAAAATTAATTTGTAAAGGCATATTTAATACTTAAACTAATATGGAGTAACTGGTCAAAGAAATCATGCAGTAGCTATACTCTGAGAATCAAAGAGTCGAGGATTGATTTAGCATTGAGCATATCTAATCCTGTTACGCATTGTTTTATGCCGTTTCAGAATCGTCTGTGAATCATCTCTGAAAATTTTGGATGAATTTTTGAATCCTTGACCATGCGGAGGCTTTTGTCATGAAAATTAAAGGAAGGAAGATGTATTGTTTTTTAAAAAAGATTATCTTGTAAACTTATTAAGAGTTAAAGCTTGTTTTCTGTTATTCTGTACATTTGAAGCAGGCAAAATGTATAAAAGTGTGTATAGAAATCAGGTAATAGTAAAGATTTTTCAAACAGCTATAAAGAGGTTATTCTGTATAAAAATGTCTTATTTTGGGGGGAATGTAAAATCAGTATCTGTTTTTATAAAACAAATAATAATTGTATCTTATATACTTTGAGATTGAGGTAGCATGTAACCTCAGTCTCTGGGAAGACTATAGAGCATATTCCTGGAGGTTATGGAAATTAATTTCATTTCAAGACACGTGAAGGACAAACTGGTGATTGAGAATAGCCGTCATGAATTCACCGGGGGCAAACTCTGCCTAACCAACCTGATTTCCCTCCCTTTCGTGGATCATGCAGTGCTATACTCTGAGAATCAAAGAGTCGAGGATTGATTTAGCATTGAGCATATCTAATCCTGTTACGCATTGGTTTATGCCGTTTCAGAATCGTCTGTGAATCATCTCTGAAAATTTTGGATGAATTTTTGAATCCTTGACCATGCGGAGGCTTTTGTCATGAAAATTAAAGGAAGGAAGATGTATTGTTTTTTAAAAAAGATTATCTTGTAAACTTATTAAGAGTTAAAGCTTGTTTTCTGTTATTCTGTACATTTGAAGCAGGCAAAATGTATAAAAGTGTGTATAGAAATCAGGTAATAGTAAAGATTTTTCAAACAGCTATAAAGAGGTTATTCTGTATAAAAATGTCTTATTTTGGGGGGAATGTAAAATCAGTATCTGTTTTTATAAAACAAATAATAATTGTATCTTATATACTTTGAGATTGAGGTAGCATGTAACCTCAGTCTCTGGGAAGACTATAGAGCATATTCCTGGAGGTTATGGAAATTAATTTCATTTCAAGACACGTGAAGGACAAACTGGTGATTGAGAATAGCCGTCATGAATTCACCGGGGGCAAACTCTGCCTAACCAACCTGATTTCCCTCCCTTTCGTGGAAGAAGAGAGAGCAGAGAATGTCATCTTTCCTGTCCTTAGCAAAGACTTTTACACAGGCTTATATAGTATCCTTATGGCCAAATTGGGGAGAGGTGGACCAGATGGGTGGACTTAGAAGGCGGGTGGGAAACTGGCTGGACCATCAGACTTGAAGAATAATGATGCTACAAAGTCAGACTGAAAGCTGGTTACTAGTGGCATTCCTCAGGGCAGATACTGTTGCCAATACTGCTTAACATTTTTATTAAAAGCTTGGGCGATGGGATGAAATGCAACCTCAGTCTGCTGGCAGATGGCACCAACTTGGGAGCAATGGTTGATACACCAAGGGTAGGGTTGTCCCAGTCAGGGGGATCCTGACAAGTTGGACTTAAGGATCAACAAATCTCACGATGTTCAACAAAGACACACGCTCTTCTACCCGTAATGGACTAATCCTGCATACCAGCGTAGGCAAGTGCAGAGGGGCGATCTTAACGCTGTCTTCACCCACCTGGATGAGGATTAAGTCCTGGATGAGGACTTTTCTCAGAGGTACACATGAAGAGAATATGAGGCAACAGAAGCAACTTGCAGCAAGAGAAATTCTTATTGCACATGAGAAAAAGAATTTTCATTATGAGAGTGAATTGAAACTGGAAATGGAACAGGAAGAGGTTGCTCAGAAAGGCTGTGGAACGTCCGTCCTTGGAGCTGTGCAGAACTTGACTGACAAGGCCCTGACCATCATGTCATAATTTTGAAGTTAGCCCTGCTTGAGCTGGGGATTGGACCAGATTATCTCCCGAGCTTCCTCCCAGCTTGAATATTCATGAGATTAGGTGACAAGTGTACTGAAGGGGAAATGCCCTAGCTATTAAACTTACACCTGATTAATACATAGGTTATATTGTTTTATATTTAGCTATTTTTATAAATTAATACTAATGATGCAGATAATGCAGACATATAAGCCACTTATTTAATGCAACCAGATGCTCTCCTAAGACTAGTAATAGAATGCTGATTGCAGAATGTTATTTTGCCTTAACTGAGACATCTGTAAATTAGATGTCTAAGCTCATGGTGTGGTTTAACCCCAGCCCTCGACTGAGCACCACACAGCTGCTCACTCACTCCCCCCACCCCCAGTGGGACGGGGGAAGAATTGTAAGGGTAAAAGTGAGAAAGAAACTCGTGGGTTGAGATAAAAATGGTTTAATAATTAAAAAGAAATAATAATTTTTAAAAATTGTAAGGAAAAGAGGAAAAAAAAAAACAGAGAGGGGAACATAAAACCCAAGAAAGACAAGTGATGCAAATGAAAACCATTGCTCACCACCAGCCGACCCATGCC